CTCCCCCACCTAATGCTCTTCCCCATCCTGGTCCAAGCCCTCATCACTCCACACCCAGGCTATTGCCATAGCCTGCTGGTGCATCTACCTGCCTCAAGCTTCTCCCCACTCCAATCTGTTCTCTCTTCAGCCACTAAAGTGATTTTTCCTAAAGGGAGGGTCTGACCATGTCACCACCCTGACCCTCCACACAATAAACACCAGCACAAAATACAAAGATACAAATACAAAAGAGTGTCAAAGCCCTTTATGACTTAGTCCCTACCTCCATGTACTCTTCCATCCAGTGACTCTGGACTCCTGGCTGTTCCTTAAACAAGACCCTCCATCTTCCAGCTCCACACATTTTCACTGGCCATCCCCATTACTGTCATGCTGTCCCTCCTCGTCTCTGCCTCCTGCGTTCCCTGTTGTTTTTGTTGTTCAGTCATGTCCAACTCTTGGTGACTTTGGGGTTTTCTTGGCAAAGATACTAGAACAGTTAGCCATTTCCTTCTCCAGCTCATTTTACAGATGAGGAAACTGTGGCAAACACAGTTAAGTGACTTGCCCAGTGTCACACAGCTAGTAAGTGTCTGAATCCACATTTGAACTCAAGTTTCTGTACTCTAAGCCCGGCACTCTATCCTCTACCCTACAGCCTTCCCTGGCTTTAAGTTCAAACCCCAGGCCCTTCAACCAGAATTTTTTCCCAACCCCTCCCAATTCTAGTATTTTCTTTCTTTTAATTACTTCCTGTTTTGCATATAGATTGTTGTGTTTGTCTTCCCCTGGAGACTGTGAGGTCCTTGGGGCCATGAATTATCTCTAGCCTCTTTTTGTATTCCTAGCACTTAGCAAATTAATGAATGTTTGTTGATTGGTTATCTTTATGCAAGATTCCTTTGAGGAGCTTTTCATCTTTCTGGCTCGAGAAGATCACTGGGCCAGGAGTCAGGGAGGCTGCTCTGGGGGATGACCTTAGTTCACAATGCGCCTCAAATTTGCATAGCTGTGTGACCCTGGGCAAATCCCTTCAAGTCTGCCTCAGTTTTTTCAACTTATGTAAACTGAGGATAATGTCCCTGGGGGTGGCAGAGCCAAGATGGCAGAGAGACAGGGAAGCAACGCAGTGAACTGCCCACCACAAACACCTAACAGATCTGGACAATGCACCACACCAAGTCTGCATGGGGAAAACCAGAAAAACCTGTGAGTCGTGGATCCAGGCTGGCACAGGGGGAAAAGCAGAGGTCTGTGGACCCTGCAACCAGTCCGGTGAGGAAGACACTGTGGAAGGAGCCTTCCTGCCATCAGAGCCTGTGTCATAGGGCAGGAAGCTTCAGACCTGCACCAGGGAACTGGAGCAGGATGGCTGCCCTCCTCTACAGGCCCAGCTCACATAACAGGGTCAAGAGAATCTGTTCCAAGCAACGGAATCCCTGTGCCCGGGAGGCCCTGGGGAATGAAGCAAGGAAGCGTAGAAGCCTGAAGAAGCCTGAAGAAGCCCGCAGAAGCAGGGGTGTGGCTCAGGCCTGGGAGGCAAAGCAGGGTCTGCCTTCCAATGTCCAGCCCAGCCTGGAGTGGAGTAACAAGGGCAGCAATGCCAAAATAAAGAGGGACTTACAATTCTGCCCCTCTGAGATGGCCAGCACAGCCTGGTAGCTGGCCAACAGGGCCAGAGTCTGGCAGCAGTCTGCTTTTGCATAGGCTCTAACCCAGGTTTGGGAGCTCAGAGCAGGAGGGCAACAATCTGATTTTGCCCTGGATCAGACCACCCTGGGAACCCTGAGAGCTCGTAGGCCTCTATCTTGCCCCTGAGATCCTGGAATAAGACAACACTCAGCACCCCAAGAAAGCAGCAACAAGAGAGCCCAGACGTTGCCTCCAGGCTCTGCAGAGGAAGTTGGCTGAAAAAGTGAGCCAAGAGGAAAAAAACCCCACCACAATGAATGGTCATGGTGGCAGAGGAACGGGCCATACAAAGACAGAAGCGTGACTCATATCGTCAAGCATCAGAAAAACACAGCTTGGGCACAAACTCAACCAGAGTTTCTGGGAGTGTTGAAGCAAGAGTGAAACATGTTTATAAATGGAATGAGACTGCTTGAGGGGAAAAGAAATGGAAAGGAAATGAGTAGTGTGGAAGAAAGTATCAGGGAGGTAACAGCTTGGCACAAGGGGCACAAAACCTTGGCCAGGCAGCAAACTCCCTAAAACCCTGAATAGACCAAATGGAAGCCACAAGGCAGTAATAAATATTAAAACAAATTCTAGAGGTTTGGGGGAAAAAAAACCAAAGAAAATGTAAGGTATCTCATAGTAAAAAAAAAAAAACTCACATAGAAAAGAGAATAAGGCAAAGGCTAAATATCACTGGACTATCTGAATGCCATAAAAAAAGGAACCTGGACATAAGATTTCAAGAAATCTTAAAACTGCCCAGATGTCTTACAACTGGAGCTCCAGGTCACAATAAACCACACACCACTTCCTGAAAGAAATCTCTGAATGAAAACTCCCAGGAACATCAGAGCCAAAATGCAGAGCTTCCAGGGAAATGAGAAAAATTCGGCAAGTAGCCAGAAAGAAACAATTCAAGTGCCAACGAGCCACAGTTAGAATCACACACAATTTGGCAGCAACCATAATCAAAGAGCACAGACCTTGGAATAGGATTTACCAGAAGGCAAAGGACATGGTCTTATAGCCAAGAGTAATTCACCCAACAAAACCACGTATAAGGCTATAAGGGGAAAATGACCCTTAAGGAAAGGACATCCAAGCATTCTTGAAGAAAAGACCGTAACTGCAGAGAGCTTCTGATGTTCAAACACAAGTGAAGAGAAACACAAAAAAAGTAAAGAAGGATGAACTAGCCTAAGGGACTAAAAAAAATAAAGGATAAACTACTTATATTCAAATCTGGGGAGAGATTTGTGTCCCCTTTGATCTCTCAGGGCTCATAGAGGGAATTAGAAAAGACCTGGGAGGGGTTCTGTTATGTCTTGATCTTAAGGAAAAGACAGAAAGAGAAGAAAAGGAATACACTAAGGCGGGTGCATGGAAAGGAGGGTTAGGAAATATTATCTCACGTGAGGGGGCACAAGTAGACATCTACACAACGAGGAGGAGGGAGTGGGTGGGAGCCTCGGACGCCTGACCCTTCGTCATCTAGACAGAGGAAGGAAGAGTGCACACATACATTCTTGTAATAGGGGTTAGTTAGTTTTCTTGCTTTCTCAATGGGAGGAGGGGTGAGTGAGAGAAAGGAAAGGTAGAGAAGACTAATTTCTGCTATAACAAAAATTTGTATTTAAAAAATGAAGTAAACCCCCCCAGATATTCCTAACCACATAAATAAGATGAGGAAGATACCTGCCTTCCAGGGTTGGTTGTGAGGACCAAATGAGATATTGGTAAGGTGCTTAACTCAGTTCCCCGGAACTTAGTAGGCAACTGATGATAAATGCTGGTTTTCTTCCTTCAGCCAGTCTTGAAATTAGACTGACCATTCACCTGATGGCTGTCAAAGGTAGCACCCTCCCCATGTGTGAAAGGGCTACTGTCTCTTGGACTTCTGTCCTTCTCCTGTCACACGTTGTTAGACCAGTTTGTTGGGGTTTTTTTTTTCCCTGAAAGGTGACAAATCCAAGGACCTGACTTACAGAGTGGGTAAAGGCACTACTTCAGGCAGTATCTGAGGGTCTCTTGACAAATTGGTTTGGGAGCATGGCAACATGAAGGCACAAAAATGTGCCCATGTGAAATCAGGGTACTTCAGACATGGCAGATTTCCCCAAATGGCACACTGCCACACCTTGCTCTGCTGACCCGATGAGCTCCGGCATGGAGATGAGGGGAGCCTCGTGTACTCAAGCTACAGACCTCTGGTATCCCTATTGAATGTCCTTTTTATGCTATACTTAAGGAAAGCTCCTTTTACTTACTGGATGACCCAGGAGTGTCTGATTTTTGCTTAACATCTACACTGAGTATTGACTTGAGAAAGTTCCATCCACTACTCCCTTACCAGGTCAATCTAGAACCTGCTCCAGCCTACAGCAGTCGAGATTTCTAAGAAACTGTCTGAGGTACCCTGACACACTAACTTGACTCTGTCCATCCTTTCTGTTGCTCTCACGGTCTCTGCCAGTGCATGAGACACTCTGCACAGAATAGACCAAATTACTCCACCCAGAAGCCCATCTGTATAGTAACCTCTGTATGTGGTGAAGCTAGTCCTCGTGCCCAGGAATAACAGAGACAAGGATGAAAATCCCAGGAGCCTCTTCTAAAGGCAGAGAAGCCGTCCGTCATTCAATCACTGTGCCAGGGCAGGTCTTAGAAACCCAGGAGCAGCAGGATGGCCCCAGAGCTCTCTGTACAAGAAATCTTGGGCTTCTATGTCTAGAGCCTTTCTAAATGCTTGTTGGTTCAACCTAAGAACTGGTAAAGGAGAGGGGTTCAGAAGGACCTGGGAAGGCTTGTGTGAGCTGAGGCAGGAGGACATGAGCAGCACCAGGAGCACAATTTCTGCTCTGATGACCGCACTGCAAAGGACAAGAGCTGGGAGAGACTTCAGGACTGACAAGACTCAGGGTGAAGGGGTTTCCTGGATGAGAGCTTGACCACAAAAAGCAGAGAGGAGGTGGAGAAGCTGTGTGTAGGGGTAGGGGGGCTAGGCAGGCACAAAGAGGACAAAAACATGATCCCTAGGTAATAGAGAGTAAGGAATGAAGTGGACATCCTTATGAGTCAGGTGTAATGAGGGAGACTTAAAAACAAACAAGGGAGAGCAGCAGTTGGGGGTGGGGCAAGTTAGTGAGATGCCAAAGTGTCAACAAATCAGTTTAAACAGAAGTAGAGAGCAGGGCAGTGTGGTTACTAGTGTGTTTAATTTCATGCCTAGTTTTGTAAAGAAACAATACGTAAGTAAGATGTTTTCAGCTTCATAGACCATTCCCTGTGTCTATGGAAATGACCCTCACTGCTGAGGTTAAGTAAGTCTGTGGACTCACCTGGGGTGGGGGTCTGCGGCTCCCAGGGGTGGTTCCCTCTGGCTCTGGGCTCTCTGCTTGTGCCGGGCCTTGGTCCTCTGCAGGCTAAGCTGGGCAGGGAGAAGGATCCCAGGGTGGCAGAGATCTTTCTCTTCTTTTCTTAGGCAGGAGCTGGCCTATAGGGGTTTACAGAGAGTGAAACCCCACAGGAGTTACAAAGGCAAAATCTGGCTCTTAGGGCACAGACTCTCACCTACAGAGGGGAAAGAGAACGTAGTTAGGGTCCAGTTTGGAAATAAAGATGGTTCCATTCTCTTACTCCTTCTCTTCTGCCCCCTCCACTCTCCCATCTTCCTCGGAGGCAGAAAGGGCTTTGGAATCCCAGGTGGGATGAGATCATTCAGAGCCTCAATGATCACTGAGTCAGAGCTATCTCTCCAAATGGTCCCCTGCCCTCCCTGCATTCCCTCTCGGCAGCTCACACACACTGAATCTGGACCGCAGACTGACTGCCGATCTTGGAAGGAGGGTAGCTAGGGAAGGCTGGGGAGGAGGAGGGCTCTGAGAGGTGGCTGCCAATAATGATCGCGGGAAGCCTGAGGCTCAGAGGCACAATCCTTTCTGGGATGCTGCTGCCTGGAAGGGGACTGGGGGCTCTGAAAGAAGTGGGGACAGGGAAGCAGGAACTTTAGTGTCTGGGTCCAAGGTGGGTGCTAGGGGCAGGCAGGCAGGCAGGACTTCTGGATCCTTAGAGGACTGTGTTAAAATTGCATCTTGTCCTGGTCCCCCTGATCAGCCCTTCCCCTCTTAGTCAGGATGGTTTAGCAGGAAAGATTGGGAAGAGGAACCTGGCAGACATGTCCAAACTGTTACAAAGACTAAAGGAGCACACCGTATCACAAATTAACCCGCATTTTAGCCTAACGTAGGACTGCTTGTCTGGGTTTCCAGAGCCCTTGTAGACCTGGCCGGTTCCAGAGCAGCAGGACATGCAAAAGGGCTCATCACTTTGGGATGTCCATGAACTAGCCCCAGTAGGGCACAGAAAGGAGCCGGTCTACCCCCCAAACTCTTTATATACAAAAACCCTTTTATAAAGGGACCTCAAACTGCCCCTCCCCCCCCCCCCCCCCCCGCGATCCAAGTGGCTCGGTGCCCCAGGGGAGGAGGAGGAAGCTCTCTGCCCTTTCCCTTCCCCCACTCCGCCCTCCCCAATCCCATCCCTCTCACCCTCCCCACTTTTCTCAGCTTGTCCCCGGGCCTTATTAAAGTGCGAAGTTGTCCCCTTTCCCCTTCCCCCAATCCCATCATTTCATAAATTAAATACCCATTCACTTAGCGTCGTGAGCAGGAGGGTCCAGGGAAAACAGCTTCGGTGGCTAATGAGTTAAGCGGGTCAAATTCTTGGGAACTGTAATCAAGTGTAGACTGCTCGATCCTGTGTTTCTATTTCCCAGAGGCCTCTGCACTGCCTGCTGTCTGGGGGCTACGGGCCACCTCTCTTCCCATTCCCCAGCCTGAGTCCGGCCCCAGTCCTGCCCCCTAGCCCCTCCCTATCCCCCTGCCCCTCCCTGTGTCTGGCCTTCCCCTCCCACCCTCTCTCCGCCGGGAAGCAAGAAGGAAATGTTGGTCACAAGGGGTGACAGGGGTGATGTGTCTAAGAGACTTGCGTCCCAAGCTCCAAACTGCTTTTCGGTCATAAAACATTATCTTGGATGGAAAAATTATCTTCTCTCGCCCCCTGCCCCGGAGAGAAAATAAATAAGTGGGCGTGGCCGGGAGGGGGAGGGGGAGGGAGGAGGGAGGAGGGAGGAGGGAGGAGGTGTGTGCAAACTCGTACTGTTGTGTTTGATTTCTCCTGATGTGAGAGGCAAAGTCAAGGCCTGGTGGCATCATCACAGACAACAGGAACATCTCATCAAGGACCATGAGTGTTTTCACTGATCTTTTCTGCAGGATTTTTCCAGGCACACAGGCAGGATTCCTGCGGGGATCCTTTGCAGTTCTGATTCTTTGGTTTCCTTTTAGTTATTTGCTTTGGATATTTCTGCAGACCTGGTGGTAGGAGCTGCTGGTGGTCAGCAGATCAAGGGGTGGATTGTGTTCATATTGTATCTTGTTCTGGTCCCCCTGGCCACCGCCTCCCCTTCTAGTCAGTAAGTTTTAGCCGCAGCTAAGATAGCAAAGGGGAAGCTGGAAGTCATATATGAATCATCCCAAAGACCAAAAAATCAAAAATTTCCAAATTTTATTGTATCGTAATTAAAATTCATATTCCGGTGATATGTGCTGAATCAGAGAAAAGTTCTAGTTGCTGCTTGTCCAACCCCTCTGGTTTCTTCACTTCACCAAACATTGTTTCCCAATTGACATAATGTTGACACAAGTGCTTTTCTTTATTCTGAAGACACTCTATTTTTTTAAAGATTATTTCCAATATTAAATAATTTGGAATAATAGGCAAAGGAGTCTCTCACATCACCTAATTGATTGCAAAGTTCTTCAGAGAGACCTTGAGAGTGTCACTTCTTCTAATGGCCTTGGGAGTGTCTGCCTTGCTTGAGTTCTCTGTCAAAAATCTTTTTTTTCTTTTTGCTAGGCAATCTGGGTTAAGTGACTTATCCAGGGTCACAGAGCTAGTAAGTGTCATGTGTCATGTGTCCGAGACCGGATTTGAACTCAGGTCCTTCTGACTCCAAAGCTGGAGCTCCATCCACTGCCCCTCAAAAAGCTTTTTAGGCAAATGTACATCTGGCATTGGAACAAAGTGGCTTGCCCGTCCTTGAGGCGCTCTCTCTGCAATGGAGTCTAAATGCTTGGCACTGTAACTCTAGAAGGAACCTCAGCGTCTGGTACCTTCTCCTGCCAGGTGATCATCAGAATCTTCCTAAGACAATTCAAATGGAAGTGATTCCGCGTCCTGGCATGGGGCTGGGAGAGTGTCCAGGTTTCACAGTCATACAACTATGAGGTCAGCACAAATGCTCTGTAGACTTTCAGTTTGGTAGTCAGTGTAATACCTCTTCTATTCCACTCTTTCTTTGGGAGCCTCCCAAACACTGAGCTAGCTCTGGCAATTTGCGTGTCAACCTCTTCATCCTCGTGGACATCCCTGGAAAGTACACTGCCAAGGTAAGTGAAGTTATCCACAGCATTCAGTATTTCTCCATTTGCTGTAACCACTGGTTCCATGTATAGCTAGTATGGTACTGACTGGTGAAGAACCTGTTTGGTTTTTTAGGTTTTTTGGTCAGGGTTTTTTTTTTTTGGTGTCAATTGTTAGGCCAAAATTAGGACAAGTAGCAGAGAATTGTGATCCATACTTTACTGAGTCTCAGCTTCAGAGGCTGTATTGAGTGCACAATCACCTATGTACAGAAATACATGCACCAATCATATAGTCTTGGCTTGCAGACTGTTGACAGGATTTTTACTGAGCCAGTCTCTAGACTGAGAATGCTAGGAGCCACACAAAGCAGGCCTAGAGACAGCAGTGCCAGTAATCAAGTAGTTTAATTAATCAGTTTCAGAGTAAGAAATGTTCTTAGCTGAAGTAAAAGCAGTGGTTAAATCACAAGTGTGCAAGGAGGGGGGAAGGTGGATTACAAGGGTTAGTAGTTTCCCACGAGAAATCCATAAGTCCAATGATTCTGGAGTCAAGTCTTTAGGGGTCGTGACCACCTCCCCTAAGTACAGAAATGGAGTTCTGTGATGGGGAGCAGGTTCAACAATCTTTGATTCACTTCACTTAAGGTCCGGTGATTGTGAGCTTGGCCAGAGTTTTCTTTTATCAGTTCAGGCTGTGACCTCTGACTCCTAAACCATAGTCAGCTCTTGAGGAAACTAGATTATTAGTATAGTCATTACACATATCATATCAATTCATACGAAAACTATAAATCCCTTTGTCAACAGAATGGGCAGAAGAACCCTCTTCTTAGCAGAACTCCTTTGTCCCTGGTTCTCTTTGGGTGTGGTCCTTCTCTGTGACCACTGAGCTTTGTCTGGGTGGCGTACCTGGCAGCTGGGGGCACCGTCTGGGCACTCCTTCCTTCCTGGGAGGCCAGCTACTTCTACTCCATATAGCAGCCAGCCTGGCCTCTGAGGGGGTCCCATCTTTAGCTGACAGGGCTCAGGTGCAAAGGAGCAGGGAACTGGAGCCATCCATTCCGTGGGGATGGGGCAGTAGGGCAAGTGCACTGGATGAGCCGGGGCCTGCTCTTACAGCCCAAGCCCTGACCTTTTCCTGCAGGGAGCCCTCGGGTATTTGGTCACTCCACAGGCAGGTGATCTGTGGCAGATCTTGGCCCAGTTGCTGGGCACAGAGGTACCAAGAATGAAGCCACTGTGCCCTCAGGTAGCTGCCATTCTATTTGGGTAGTCCTTGCCAAGGACATGTAATGACCCCGTACATGTGGGGAGGCTGGGAGGCTGGGCCCTGGCAGTGGTGGCTTCCTGAAGACCACGGGATGGGAGGGGCAGGAGAGAGCTTGCAGGCCAAAGGGTCGGGAGGAGCTGGAGCTGAGGGCTGGGAAAGCTTCCCTGGGTAGCCTCCTTCCTACCCTATTTAGCTGTGCCTTGCCCTGACCAGAGTCCCAGGAGCGGAATAGCCACCCTGAGAGAAAGAAACATCAGAACGACAAGCACTTGCATTCCTACAAGGCAGGCACCGCACACACCATTTAATCAAAAGCCAGGTAACAATTCTTGGGATATTTTAAGTTTGCTAAAGAAGCACAGCCTCCTTTTATCAGCAGTAATATCCAAGAGAGCTGTAAAATGACCAAAGTGAGTCTGGCCACTCTAGTGGCAGAGTGTCCTCAGTGCTGCATCAGGCAACCTGGACCAAGCCCCTACTGTGTGCTGGGCACAATGCTGCCACTGTCTGCTCAGTCAGTTGCCAGGCTTCTGACACGAGGTCACCAGGGTCTGTGTCCACTGAGACCTTGACCATACCAAATACTGCCTTCGTTTTCAGTTTGGGGGTCTCTGTGGTGTCAGAAATCAGCATCAGCCCCTTTAAATAGCCCCTTTAAAGATCTGGAGCCTCATGCTGGGGCCACATACCCCCGGGGCTGCTGTGGCTTAGTGCAAACATTGTGTAAAGGAAGGTGGAATTAGGGGAGCAAAGCCACCAGAAAGGAAGAAGGCATGCTGCCCAGAGGGCACATGTCTCCGTCCAGCCTCCTACTGCTCAGCAGCCCCCTTCCTTCAGCATCCAAGACTCCCTGGCCCTGTATCTGAGACCCTGGGAGCTAGTGGGACCTCCCAGAGCCAGCCCCTCCTCAAGTGTGCTAACCTGGGACTGGACAGAGAGGGGCTTGGTACCTTCTGGTTTTCTTACTCCTCTGTTCACAGGCCTGACTGATGCCCTTTCTCCAGAGTCAAGGATTCTTTTTCATGTGTGGACTGCCCTGCCAGCTGTCATGTAAAAGGCTGCAGAGATGTTCTGGTTCATTTGGCTGTGAGCCCCCACCCCCACCCCCACCGCGGCGCGCATCCGCCCGCGGGCACACACTTGCACAGAGGACAGATAATGTACATGGCCTTTATCCCTCCCTTCTTCCTGTCCCAGGTCCCATCCAAGCACGCAGCCCCACTGCTGCCCAGCGCTATTGCACCAACGAGGCCTGGAGTTAACGTGAGCCTCGCCAAGGCCCACGGGTGAGCCCTGGTCCCGAGCTGGGAGGCCTGACGGATGCCTGGGCCACACCAGGCCCGGCGTCCGGGCTCCGGGCTTTGCATCCTCCCGGTTCTGTCGGCCCGCAGGATACACTGTTGCACGTTCTGGGCCGCCGCGACCCCTTCTGATAAACAATGTTCCATCCACCTGCAGGTGCAAACTCCCAGGGCCTCCCTTCCCCCACCAGCCCCCACCCCCCGACCTCTGCCTTTCACGTGGCCCAGCAGGGCAGGCCTGAGCCTGGGGGCTGGGGGCGAGTTTGGGGCCAAATGGGGAGGGGGCGGAGCCGAAGCCAGGCCTCGGGCGTGAGGGCGGGGCTTCTCCTATATAGTGATGGAGGTCGGGGGGGGCGGGGCTTTGCGTAGTACGTTCGCCAGGCTCGGCCTTCCTTTCGTCTGTCTTCCGTCTCCTTCGAGTCCTCGACCTCCCCGACGTTCTCCAGTGAGCTTTCCAGCTCAGCTCCATCTCCAACTCAGGCAGGGTAAGTTGAAGGCAGGAGGAGCTGTGCGGATCCGGGGAAGGGACCTGGGTGGGCAGTGGACTGCGAGCCTCACTTTAGTTAAGTGAGGGGGCACATGGGAGACCCTGATTTTCAGCAGCGAGAGTCCCAATGCTATCTGCCCTGTGAGGTCACTTGTGGAGGGAGGCTGGGGGAGGGGAAGACCCTGGAGCCCATGTTGTCTGAACGCTGCTGGGGGGGGGTGGTCAGCTTGGACAAGACGAGACGCAGGCGTCACGGGCGTCGGTCTCACGTGGTAGAAGAGGGAAATAAGGAGAAAGGGGCATTTATCCAACCCAAAGGTTTTTTCTTCTCAGGAACGTCTGCAAAGCTTCAGAAAAAATCATGAGTGCTGTGTCAACAATCCGCCGTCGAAACAAGGTTAGAGCCAGAGACCCTGAAGGGACGGGGTGGGCGGTGCCTACTCGCGGTTTTTTGGGGCCCTAGGGAAGGGTGGAGTCACGAAGGAGTGGGGAGTGCGGGACACTGAGTGACCCGGACCCCAGAGCGTCTTGGAACAAGTAGCCTTTTCCTTGGTCGGGATTCCCGTCCGTGTTCCCCCGGGAGAGGCCCAGGGGCACAGGAAAAACTGCACTTGCTGGCGCTTTGCTCCCTAACCTAGAACTGCTGAAACGCGGGAGAATATGGGCTTAATAAGGCTTGCTTTTGGTAACTTGAGCTCAATTTTGAGACTGTACAATTAAAGCTGAGTGTACGTGAAGGGCCCTGTGATACAGGGAAGAATTAGTGTGGTCCGGGTTGGCCCTAAAGGAAGGGCTGGGAGCTAGGGGCAGAGGAGGGTGGGAGGAAAGGCGCAAAGAGGTTGGCTGGGGCTAAGACTGGACGCGCCATAGTGGCCGCCGGGCTCCCTTCGGCTCTCATGGGCTTGCCCCCTGTTGTCCATATGTCCTTAGTTGACGAGGATGTCCTACAAGTTGGTGGTGATGGGCAGTAGCAGTGTGGGCAAGAGCGCGCTGACCGTCCAGCTGGTCAAGAATTGCTTTGTGCCTGACCACGACCCCACCATCGAAGACTCCTACCGCACCCAGTTGATCGTGGACGGCCAGGCCTGCCAGCTGGATATCCTAGACACCACTGGCAACGAGGAACTGCTGAGCCGACGCCAGCAGTTCATGCGCTGGGGGGAGGGCTTCCTCTGTGTCTATGCAGTAGATGACATCAAGTCGTTCGTGGATGTGAACATCTTCCGCGACCAGCTGCGCAGGATCCGTGACGCCGACCGCATTCCCTTCGTCCTGGTGGCCAACAAGGTCGACCTAGGTGGTGGCCAGGTAACCTCGGCACTGGGCCAGGAAGCAGCCAAAAGCTACAAGGTGCCCTTCGTGGAGACCTCGGCCCAGACCCGTCAGGGAGTGGAGCACGCCTTCCAACAGCTGGTGAGAGAGGTGCAGCGGGCCCGCGTGGAGGCACTGAGAGTCGTTCCTGAGCCCCCTAGGCGCAGCCAGAGCTGCGCCTGCACCCTCATGTGAGCGAGTGCTGCACCCGCGAGCAAGTCTCCCCCAGCCTCCCCTGGGCCCTCCCCAGCCTTTCCCTAGCCTCCAGGCCTCCATCTGGATCTTTCCTTCTGTACTTCTGTTCTTCTGTGCACCCCTACCAGGATCTCCCCAGGAGCCTTCCTGGTGGGACTCATCAACGTTTCTCCACACAGGCTTTTTGGATTTTTGTTTTCTGTTTGTTTTTTTTATCTTTGAGAAGGAATGACTACCTCACTGCTGCTGTGTCCTGACCAGTCAAGAAAAGACTCCCTCCCTCCTCCTGTCACAGCCTCCCCTGGCCACTCTGGCTGCCCAGGCCCCAGAGACAGCCAGGTCCTGGCCACTTTCTCCCCTACCATGGTCTTCAGCAGCCTCCTCTCCCCTCCTGGGGGCTGGGAGTGGGCTTTTCTTTCTTGGGCTTTCCTTTCCACAGAAAATCGTGCTCCCCAACAGAGCCCCCGACTCCAGACACCAGGGCACTAGTGATTTGCCCTCCTGCCCCTGGGCTTGTTGGGGTAGTTGCCTGGGGCCAGGTCACCCCAGCCCTGGGGGTGGCCCAGAAGACCTTGTCTGAGGGGTTGGTGAGGAGCCCTGCCCTGAAGTGACCCCTTCAGTGCCCCCCCCACAAGACCAGACCCGGGGGTGAGGGGTTTGGGTCACTCACATTGTTGACCCTTATCCTCCACGAGCTTGTCATCCTAAGCACTTCCCCTGGGGAGGGTGGGAGATAGAATGGGCCTGTCTCTTGCTGGGAGGAAGCCTTGGGTAGAAAAATGCCATCAGCGTGACTCCTGCTTTTATGTTTAAATAGATTTGAGTTTTTTGGGAGGATGCAGTGGCTCAGGGTTACATGTCTAGTTAAGTGTCAAGCTAAATGGGTCCTCCTTCTGACTTCAGGGTGAGTGCTTTATCCACCGTGTCACCTAGCTGCCCATTATTGTTGGTGTGAGCTGCACTGTGTTGCCTCCAAGATAAGTGGGGTTGGGGGGGAGCCCCTGGCTGTGAGTGAGCTCAGCAGAGACTCCCCCAGCTGCAGGTCAGGTGGGGTCTGTCCCCTTGTGACCTGGGCATCTCTGCCACCTTGGGGGGAGTGGACAAGGGGTGGGTAGGCAACACTCCTGTTTCAGTTGAGAGGACTAAAGATGTTAAAGCTGCCTGGTTTTGGGGGGGGATTCATCTCAAGGGGACGTCCCTCAGAGTTGTTTTTCTTGTTCTACAATTTATTACAAATAAAAGTTGTTGCTTTATCAATAACTCCTGCTGTTGGTTTCTGGGAGGCTGGTGTGCGTGGGGTAGGAATAACCTGAGTGCAGGGGAGATGGAGCTGCTCTTGGGGGTTAGAGAGCACAGGTGTTTCAACTGTGGGCCCCTGGACCTCAGTTTCCTCATCAGTAAGATGTGCAGGGTGGGTTTGGTGGCCTCTTGGCTCTGTCTCAGCTTGGAGTCAGTAGGGGCTCAGGGCGCCTGGATCCCCTCCCAAGCCTAAGCTGTCTCTGACACGTTTCCCTACCGCTCCCCCAATCCCCCACCCACCTAGGTAAAACCCCGTACCACACAGCCAGCTGGTATTGAAGGGCTTCTCTGGAGTGAGGGGGTGTCCTCACCTCCTGAGGGGGCCCTTCCTGTGGGGAAGTACTTCTGGATCCCCTGTAGTAACTCACCTGTGTCTGCCCCAGTGTTACCCATTGAACCTGATTCCTCCCTGGGGAGTCCTCCAAGTGCATGCAGGCCCTCTGGCCTTGCCCACAGGGAAGATGGTCCCCATCTGCATCCGGAGCCCAGCCCAGTGTAATCCCCAAAGCCAGGATGGCCCAGGCATGGTGAAATCCAAGGGCTTCAGATGAGGGAAGGACCAGAGTACTGGGAAGCCTGTAGCCAGTTCAGATCAGGAGGCAAGGTTCTTCTAGTTGGAGGAAGGTACTTTATTTTTTAAATTTAATTGATTTGTTTTTAGTTTTCGATTTCCATAAGCTTTTGGGTTTTAAATTTTCTCCCTCTCCCTTCCCTTTCCCTTCCCCAAGATGCTGCAGTCTGATTTAGGCTCTACTTACACATTCATATTAAGCCGATTTTCACATTAGTCATGATATAAAGAATTGGAACTAATGGGAGGACCCAGGAGAAAGAAGAAACAGAAGGAGAGCAAATAGTATGCTTCCAACTGCATAGTTCTTTCTCTGGGTGTGGATAGCATTTTCCATAGTGAGTCTTTTGGAGATGTGCTAAGGAGGAAGTGACTTCTTGGCCCATCTCAGGCCCAGAAATGGGGGAAGAGCCGGGGATTGCCTGTGAGGGGTGGTTGCTCAGGACTAGAGGTGGAAGGAATCATCTGCCTCATTGACTGCAATTCCCTCCTTTGTGATTAAATTCTCAGTGTTATTTGTCATAATACAGTACACTGCCTGGTCCTGCAGAAAAGTCCTTACAGGGAAAAAAAAAATGGAAAATTCCTTCCCTTACAAAGTAGCCCTCTGCACTCCTTCGATTCTGTCTTGACCTGAGAACTTATTTTACAGACAATAACAGCAGTTGGATGAATCAGTCATCTGGATATGGGAGCTGCACCCTATCCCTCCACCCCCTTTTTTTTTTTATTTCACTTGTCTTTATTTTTCGTTTTCAACATTCACTTCCACAAGATCTGGAGTTCCAAATTTTCTCCCTACCTCGCCCCTTCCCCACCCAAGGATGGCATGCATTCTGAGTACCCCTTCTCCTAATCTACCCTCCCTTCTCTCTGTCCCCCCCTTCTCTTATCCCCTTCCCCTTCGATTTCTCTACCCCCTTCTTAAAATATGCAATGTATCACAATAGAAATTTGCATTTTCAGTTCAACTGATTTGTTTGTACAGTTCAGTCTTTCAGTTGTGTCTGACTCTGTGTGACTCCATTTGGGGTTTCCTTGGCAGAGATACTAGAGCAATTTGTGGTTTCTCTCACTAGCTTATTTTACAGTTGAGGAAACTGAGGCAAACAGGGTGAAGTGACTTGCCCAGGGTCACACAGCTAGTAAGTGTCAGGCTGGATTTCAAGTCAGGCAGGTCTTCCTGCAGGCCTGGTGCTTTAGCCACTTGATGGCCTAACTTTTCCTATTCCACCTACAATCCTCTGCAAGCATTAGATACGGAAAAGGTAAAGGAGCCCAGTTTTTCTTTAAAAGAATCCAAGTTTCTAATATGAGCATCGTTACTTTCTAGGCATCTGTGAGCAAGGATTCGTAACGAATGGCTGCTTTTTGGAAATCAGTAATTTTCAAAAGTGTCCGCAGCAGGCCCCTGCCTTCCCATTCTGAGGTCTGGCTCTTAATGTCCACAGCCTTTCACCACAAAGCCCTACTGGCAGGAGTGAAAGTGGGGTGGAGACTGGGTGGTGTGCTTTAGAATGTGGCCCTCATCCCGTTTATTCGGTGTTTGTGAGCCAGGGACCGTGAGCTGAGGGTTCAGACCTGGAATTGGGGGCTTTCACAGAGAGTCTAGATGAGATGCCATTGGTGAGGTGCCTAGCATACAACTGGACACTGATACGTGCTGCTTCTCTTCCTTTCCCTTGCCCTTATGACAACACTTGAAAAAATTAATATTTCCTTTTTTTCAACAGCATTTTGTTAGCAAAAGTAGCACAAGAGGAAGTAGAAAATGATGACAAAAAATGCACTGAGAATTCTGACAACCTTAGCTCAGAGTGATAGCGCTTACTAACAAAAGTTTGCAGATTTTATGTTCTAGTTGGAGCTACCACAAAAGAAATTGGGTAAAAATCACCTGGAAATCTAATATCACCTAATCTAGGAATGCTTGGGGCAGCTGCTGGGGCATACAAGAGAGAGAAAGAGGGTGGGAAATCAACCCGAACAAAATCCAGGGCCCAGCGCCCTCAGTCAGGTTCTTAGGCATGGAAGGTGCAGGGGAGCCCCGCCATGATTGTGGACACAATTTGGGGTGGGGGGAGGAAGCAGGTCAGGGGCAGCAGGCAAAGGGAGATGACATTAGAGGCTGAGGTAGGGCCCAGAGAAGCGAGGCAAGCTACTCAGCCCACACAGCCAGCTAGTGTCAGGAGTAAAATTTGAACTCAGCTCTATCCACAGTGCTACCAATAAGAAAACTACTGCAGTCCTAGGGCGATAGGGTCCACGGGATACTTCCTGGCTGCGAGGATGGAGAGGAGCAGGTCAGATGGGAGATGCTGACTGGATATGGGGCAGGGGGAGACTTTTAGAATGATAGCTAGGGGTAATGGTTGGATCTGACGAGAATTTGTTAAGGGTTGAGGAGCTTTGGGAGTGTTTGCAGGCGGGCAGGGAGGCAGTCAGTACTTGGGGAGAGAGAAAACGGATGATGGGGCAACATGGGGAGAAGACGGCAGGGGCCTAGAGAAGGCTAGGCCTGGACGAAGGGAGGTGGCTCCTCTGCATCTGAGGGTGCAATCGAGGATGAGAAAGTGGGGGATGGTGGCCAGAAGTGGTGAGATGAGGAGGGAGGAAGGACAAAGGGGGAGTTCACAACTCCAGGCTGGGAAAGCGGAGCCTACCACTTCTGTATCTGGGCATGGAGCGGGGGAGGGGGGGGAACTGCAGGTGCAGAACGGCGCATGATCTGTTAGGCCCTTATGGCTGGGTCAGTCAATCTTGGGGGACACACTCTAATTCTCTTAGGGAGTGGGACTCCCAGAATCCCCTCAAATTGTTGGGGAAGGACTCCCCAAAGCCCCAGTCGGGGTATGCTGGACCCCAAAAAGTCCTTGTGGTTGGTGGCGGGTTTCCCAAATCCCAAGGGGGCGGGGCTCGGAGATGCCAAGAGGTGGGCGTCGGGAGGGGGCGGGCTTCCCGGGAGGCTCCAGGGTGTCTGTGGGGGGCGGGCCCTGACCCTGGGCTTCACGTGGTGGGGGAGGAGGATCCGCAGGCTCTGCTGCTTCCCCTAGACTGTAGATCCCTGCGCTTCTCCTGCGTGTTGTTCCTGGGGTCCCTAGCCAGGCTTTTTCGCCAGTTCCATTAACAATTCAGAAAGGGTAAGTAGAGGTAGGAGGAGCAGAACAGGTAAGGGGACCAAAAAAGGGTTAGGGTTAGGGTTAGGCTTGGTGAAAAGGCTAGCGGGGAGTGGCTGGTGGCCATCCCAGCCCGTGACCCCGTGGCTTCCTTAAGGCAGGGGATAAAAGGGACCCTCTGGGTCCAGTGGCCTCTTAAGGCCCCTTTGGAAACCCTGGGGTCAGGTCTGGGTCCCAGGGTTTAAGAAGGGAGGCGATAAGCCACACAAGGGCGGGAAGCGGCGGGGGGTGGGGGTGGGGTGGAAAGGGCCTGGAACCCATGGCTTCCAAAGACTTCGGCAAGCGCAGGAGTGGGGGCAGGGGAGCTTCTTCAGGCGTCTGGTCTGTGCGTGGGAGGAGGGATGAGTGTAGTTTAGCTGGGAGGGGGTTACGAAGAGACCCCCTGGGGCTGGATGTGGAGAAGGGAGATGGGGGGATGGGAGCCTCCTCAGGAGAGCAGCTGCCTCGAGCAGGGGCCTCCTCCTGGGAGGACCATTGGGATAACTAACCCTAACCCTAACCCTAACCCTCCCCCCACTGGTGTCCCTAAAGCACGTAGGTAGCCCAGTGGGTCCAGTGCAGGGCCTGGAGTCTGCATGACCTGCATTCAAGTCCAGCCCAGATACTTATTGGGTTGTGTCCCAGGGCAAGTTACTTAACTTCCATTTACCTCAGTTTGCTCCTCTGTGAAATGGGGGTAATGGACTGTTGTAGACAGTGTTTGGTGTAGACACTGACATGGTGTTTGTAGAGCACCTGGCACAGTACTGGCACACAGTAGGCACTCAATCATGGCTTGTTTTCCTTTCCCCTTGATCCTTTAACCCCCCCTCCCAGGTGATCGGCCGGGTGCCAGAGCCAAGATGCTGTACAGGCTGGTGGTGATGGGCAGCTGTGGCGTGGGCAAGAGTGCGATGATCACCCGCTTTCTTGAGAACCGCTTCGTGGCTGAGTACGAGCCCACGAGTCCCACCACAGAGGTGTACCACGGCATGGCAGTGGTGGACGGGGAGCCCTGTGAGCTGGACATCCTGGACACGTCCGGAGGTGAGGAGTTCAGCTGGCACCGGGAGCAGTTCATGCGCTGGGGAGAGGGCTTCATCTGCGTCTATGCCGTCGACTTCATCAAGACCTTCGTGGATATGAACCTCTTCTACCAGCAGCTGCGCAGGGTCAGGGGCACTGAGAAGGTGCCCCTGGTCCTGGTGGCCAACAAGATCGACGAGGCCCACTGGCTGATAGACTCAGACATGGGCAAAGAAGCGGCCGAGAGCTTCAAGGCGCACTTCATGCAGACCTCAGCCAAGACCCGCCAGGGCGTACGGGAAGCCTTCCACGAGGTGGTGCGGCAGATCCGACGCATGCGCACCGAGGCGGCACTCAAGGGTGCCAACTCCCAGTGCACCGTCCTGTGAGCAGGTACACCCTCTCCCTTGGCCCTGCCCCCGCCCCTCCCCCCCACCCCAGGACTCCCCCCCCGCGGCCGTGGCATGGCCTCTCCACAAGCCTCTTGGTGGGACTCATCAGCCTTTCTTCCTAGGGGCCTTTCTTCGTCTGGCTTGGGCACCTCTGTGCCATTTTGAGGAGAGCTGGTCGAAAACGCCCGGGGCGATGTTGCCGTTTTCAGTGAAGGGTCCAGAAGCTGCCTGCTAGGGGGGAGAGGGGGATTCAAAGTTGGTGGTTTTTCTTGTTCTGGGATTTGCTGCAAATAAAGGTTGTTACAAATTTGTTTATGACTGTGTGTTGCTGATGTATTTCAGGGGCTGCGGTGTGCTTGGGCTAGGAGTAACTTGATCTGGCTTGGGGATTTAGGGAGGGGCCCTGGGGGCCTTCCTCATCAGTGTGATGGGGGGGCGGTCTAGATGGCCTTTCAGGGCCCATCCAGCCCTAGGTCTGATTGCGAGGCTAGACTGAAATCCTCTGACACCCTGGATCCCAGAACTTCAGTTGCCTCGTTTATAACGGGGGTAATGGCACCTGACACATCCAGTTTTGGAGAGGTTAAGTATACGCATATGCAAAGTCCTTTGGAGATTTGGAAGCCTGGTAACAATGGAAGTGCTGATCCCTTAGTAAATTACTAAGGAATCAGTGCAATTAGGGCAGTGCTTCTGGGCTTACCCAGAGACTCTCTAGGTTTGCTGACGCCTGCTGGTTCTGGCCCACTTCCCGGAGGGGCCGGGAATAAGACTGAGGCTACAAAGATTGAAAGAGGCCATGTCTGCCCTGGGGGAGCTTCCATTCAATAAGGGGGAGACCTTAGCTGCAGGGGAGAGGTGACCTGGGAAAGGAAGTCTTGGCAAGCCGAAGTGGGGGTGGGGGAGGAGGGGTGATGGAAGAGATGGCCCCAGCACAGGGCCCTGGTGCAGACAGCAAGCCGACATTGGCCAGGCCTGGTGTCTAGCACTGGCCAGCCACTCTTGGGTCAGATGGCTTCAGGACACAGCTCCAGCTGGGACCTAGGTAGGACGAGAGCTCAGGAGGTGAATGGATTCAGTTCCCCAGGGAATAACTGAGCTCTGGACTCAACTAGCCCTGGTAGGGAGAGGGTCTTATCCTCTAGGCCCTGGGTCCAGTAGGAGGAGTACGGGTGTGGATGGGGTGGCTGGTCCAGAGGGGCACGGGGCTGAGAGACCCAGCGAGGCAGGAGCCACTTTTAGCTTGGCAGCACTCAAAACCTGGCCAGGCTTCGTGGAGGAGGAGAAGGAGGCAGAGAAGTATGTGGCCTGGGCTTGGGAGGCCAGGCTGCCAGGATGGAGGCTCCCTCTACTCAGAAGCCAGCTCCTGAGCCAAGACTCCACCAGCAAAGCCAGCGGCTATTAGGAAGGTGCTTTGTGCTGCGGTCAACAGGTCTTGTCGGTACCAAAGAGGCTGGAAAGCAAAGGGTGCACCGAGGACTCTGGAGCTTAAATTGTAAATCTGGGGGATTTATTTCCTGGCTACCTGGCACCAGGCAAATCCTCTGGACTCTCGGCCTCAGTTTCCCCATTCATAAACAGGAGATGGTAGCCTTAAGAGCTCTCAGTTCCAGTTCTGTGAGGTTTAGGTTATTGAAAAAGGTATTACCATGCCTACTTGAAAAATGAGAAAAGTGAGTCTAGGGACTGAAAAAAGCATACGAAGTCTTTCCCCCGAAAGGTGCAAACCCCATACTGATCCAGGAGGCCCTAGAAGTGTGTGTCTGGGGTTGGGGAACTTCATGGGGGGACCCACAGTGTTATCTCTGCCCAGCTAGGGGCAGCCCACTCCCCAGCCCTTCCTAACACCTGGGAAGAGGCCCCAGGGAATGCCAGATTCCAGAGGTCGTCCATCTCTGCCTTATCCAATGGGTCTCATGCACAGGGCAGGCCTTTAGGGACAGAACACGAGGGTCCGAATACTGATTTCTTCCTTCTGTGACCTTGGACCCATGGCTTCCCCTTTCTAGAGCCTGAAGGCTGAGGACTGGATGGGCTCTGCAGACCCTTCTGCCTCTAAATAGACACTCCCCACCCCAAACCCAACTGGGAGCCCTGCCATGGACACCTGCCTGTTCTTGGACAGGTAAGTCTCTTTCGTCCTTGAAGTTGGGCCAGGTGAGATCCCTTCCAACCCTGGTCTGTGTTCCAGGACTCCCTGTTTCACTGGCTTGGCTCTGTCTCCCCGGCTGCCATTCTAGTGGGAGTCTCTGATCATTTGCCGTTTAAGGCTGTGTGTGCCTGGTTATTTGCTGGGTGCGTGGCCTCGCTGGCCTCTGTGGGCCACTCATCCTTTGAGGATAGGCTCAAATTCACCCTGCAGAGCTTCTGGACACAGGAGCCCTCAGTCTGCTGGATTTACTGTGGGTGGCCAGCCTTCCCAAGCTGGGTTCTCATTTTGTCCCCACACAACCAAAGCCTCCAATCTGCACTGTCTGCCTTGGTTCCATTAGATGCTACTAAAATCTAGATTCAAACCATTTTTCCTGTTTCCCAGGACCAAGCAGTTTTTATTACTAATGGCCAAAGTTCATTTTTTAACTAATATCTTATTTTCCCCCAATTACGTGTAAAGACCATTTTTAACATTCTCTTTTTCTAAATCTGAGCTCCAAATGTTTTCCTTCCCCAAGACAGTAAGCAATTTGATGTGTTAATGCATGTTCAGTCATACAAAACATTACCATATTAATCATGTTGTGAAGAAGACATGGACCCAAAGGAAACACCAAAAAGTGGAAATGGTGTACTTTGCCCTGCATTCAGACTTCATCCCTTCCTCTGGAAGTGGACAGCCTTCTCCATCTGAGTCCTTGGGGCTGCCGTGGCTCACTGTATTGGAGAGCAGAGGTGAGTCTCCCAGGACTGTGTTCCTGTGGCTTGGCCCATGTGGGGACCCCAGTCCCTGCCAGCCTCGACCTTTTCCGTTCTTCTCCTAAGTCACTCTCTTTCGGTGCGGTGGGTGGCAGCTGAAGTGATTTAAGAAAGGGAAGCTGGGGGGCCCCCGACATTGCTCGCCAAAGGGCTTCCTCCCCCCTTCCCAGATCTGGGTGCCCAGGTCCCTCCTGCTCAGGCCAGTCTCTTATCGGTTGGTCACCTGCTGACTCAATCATTAACTTCATTTTTATGGAGGCAGCCACAACACTCACATTTCCAGAACTCACAGAGTGGCAGAGCCCTTTCCAGCTACAATCTCACTAGATCCTCACAGCCCCTCTGGGAGGAAGATGGGGTCGGAGGGTTAAGGTGAGAATTCCCATTTCACAGAGGAGGAGACTGAGGCTCCCAGAGGTCAAGTGACTTACTCAGGGTCACCTAGCGGCTGGAGCCTCCTTCCTCTGCCTCTGGCTGCTTCTCTGCTAAGTCTCAGCCTGTGAGCATCCTTTGTCTCCCCCTCCCCCGCCCCCGGGGCTGTGAATATGCACAGCTGAATTTCCCGGGGCCTTTGCTGCAACCAGTCTTTGTCTTTGAAATCTCTCATTGCTTTATAATTTCCTCTCTTATTCAGTTGTGGGGGGAAGGAGAGAAGCTGGACCCGTGACTTCTCAGGATAGGGATCTCCCAGTGTGGGAATGCCCTTGGCTAAGGCTAATCACCACTTGCTATGCCATGCCAGGTCTCGGAGCAGAGTGGCCGGCTAAGTCACACCCCCAAGGGGCCGGGCTGGTTTGGAGCAGGAGCAGGTCTGGAGCCGAGGGCTCTCTGAATTTCTGGTCACCTCTCTAGCCCTCGACACCTACTGCACTCGCCTGCCTATGACAGCCGTGAGTTAATGGATCACTTTCAGGTTCCCTCCTGGCTGGAGTGTTCCCCATCTTCGCAGCCAGTTTGTCTGTCCAGCTCCCAAGGCCAACATAGAGGGAAGACGTTCACGTTTATAGGGACAAGAGCTGCTGTTTTCCCAACTGGTAGAGGGTCTGAGGCAGGAACAGGCAGCTGTCAAGGCCGTACAAATCCATGTGGAGACAGGCTCCCAGTCCCCTCTCTCATTGGGGAAATGAGCACAAAAGCCAGTGGGTGATCTCACCTCTGTGACTGCAACATGCCTGCTTAGGGAGGGTGTGGAGCCTCTGGCCCTCAGGACCCCCTCCCTTTGGGCCTTCCCTGCTCTCAGAGGACAGGGGGCCTGAGCTGGGGATGGGGGAACGGGGTCCTGGGTTTGTGCAGGAGCCTCCCTCCCCTCTACCCCACTGGACTCCCGCTGTCCCCAGAGGCACGCCTGTGCCCCCTTCCCCAGGTACAAAGGAAGGCAAGGCTGGGTGGTTGGAGAGAGACCCCCAACGTAAGATCATGTCTCAGCCAGAAAGCACTTTGCTTTCTGGGGGTTGGGGGCTGAGGGCTCCCACACACACAGCACTGAAATGTGGACCCGCCTTGGAGTAGTGTGTGCCCCTCCTTGCCTCTCCGGGATGTGGAGGGGCCAGGGCATGGGTGTGTCCCCTGAAAATGAGGGAACAGGACTGGATGGCCCCCTCCCTGGTTCCAAATCTCGGTTGTGGGCTCTGAGGATCCCTGCTCCTGCCGCCTAGTTGCCTAGCTAGGGACCCAATCAGGAGCCCATGGAGGGGCTGTCCCCAGCTTACTCTACAAAGTGGGGTATGAGCATCTGGACCCCTGGACTCCCCAGATGGCTGGGCCAGTCTTTGTAATGCCCATATTCCCTGAGGCCTTTCGTGGACTCCCTTCCAAAGCCATCCCACCCGCCCAGAGGCTGGACACCAGGACTCGACTCAGGGACAGGGCCTCCTCCTCTCTCAGAGGAAGGAGGCTGACACAGGTCAAAGGCTCTGCTGGACCAGGGCCTGACCCAGGGGTGCACAGCAGTATCCTTTCAGCCCCAGGAAAGGGAAGTGAGCCCAGACTTTCTGGCTCTGACCTCTGATGTTCCCTCACCCCGAAGTGCCCAGGAGCTCCTTGACCTCACCAGTCCCTTCTCTGTCCTAACTTGCCAGGTTTGGGGTGACCACAAAGGAAGGAAACCAGCACCTCTGTGCTGGGCACTGTGCTAGGCACTTCACCTTATCATCCCGTTTGATCCTCACAACCACCTCAGGAGATCAGTGTTACTTTTATCCCCATTTTACAGATGAAGAAATAGAGGAAGGCAGAGGTTAAAGGACTTGCCAAGGTGACACAGCTAATAAGGGTCTGAGACAGGATTTGAACTCAGGTCCTCCTGACTCCAGGGACCAGTGTGCTCTCCACTTTTTTTTTTCCCTCTTTCTTCCTTTGGTCTCTGT